AAAAAAAAAAAAAAAAAACGCATCTTAGTAAAACCAATACCTTCTCAGCTTCGCATCGAAGCTAATAAAAGGACTAGATACAATTTTTTTTTGTTAATTATGAATAAATAAATTGGTCTACAAGAAATTTTCATCAGTCAAAAATATAATGTTTTGGATGATCATTGAAAAATATTTCCTCTTAGTGATATGATTTTATTATGTAATTCAGTATAAAACTAATTTTATCATAAAAAACGCTTCGATGCAAATCTGTAGATAGTCTTTAATTTTAAGAATTTGGTTGATTATTCTAAAAGCAAAATTAACTTTTATTTCTATCATTATTCCTAATTAGTAGTTGATTTATAAGTATAATTTATGAATTAATATCTATTAAAGCAATTCAACATAGTATAAAATTGATATTTAATAAATTAGTATTGTAATTTTTTCTGAAAATTTGTAAAAAATTATAAAATAGTTATTATATTTATGGTAAACGTGTATAAAAATTGAAGGGCTTGACATAGAACTTTTCAGATAATAATTTATTGATAAATATTTATTAATAATAATTAAGTTTAAAAAGTTGCTATTTTAAATCCCCCTATGAGCAGGCTAAGTGTTAGATTTTCAAAAAAATGATATTAAATAAAAGGAAAATACCTGAGGTTTCAATATATATAAAAAAAAGTTAATTTGTTAATAAAACCCAGAATTTTGACACAAAAATAGCATTTCAAATACGGTAGTCCTTTTCACCATGAAGACATATCCAGATGTCAATTTTTTTTTCAAATTAAATTATATTACATTAGTTTTAATTTAAGATATATATAAAAGTGACAGTCTTTCCGGAATATTTTCAAAAGTTAAGTTGAAAAAGGGCCATTTGAAATCCTTTCAGTGGGCTAGTAAAAGGTCAAATGTTCACAAAAATATATTAAATGATAGGTAAATACCTAAGGTATCTATAAAAAAACAAATATAATGATTACTATTATGATATATTAAATATATCATGATTACTGTGTATACATATGATGATAATGTGTATACATTACAAACTTGGCATTAATACCATAATAAGAAATTAGATAAGGCAATTATTACTTATCACTCTCATTCAAAAGTATATTGAAAAGATAGCGTTTCTTCTGTCCTTTTCTCAATACGTATTTCAATGTTCAATACCGTAAAATAATACATGAAAATTCGAATTTTCACAAACTTCAAAACGCTACAGAATATTTACTACTCAATATTAATAAGATATTTTTTTACTAAAATTTTTCTTAAATTCTACTCTACAAAATAGCTTAGATTTTTTTTTTACATTTTATTAAAAATATTAATTATTTTTAAATTTTAAATAAAAAAGCTATAGACCTAACGTATAACTATTATTTAAAAAAAAAATCAACTAAAAATATTAACTGGATCAAAAGTTATTTAAGTTGTCAGTGAGTGGTGGGCCACCCTGTATATATAAATGTAAAGCGACTTAAGTACGTAAACGTATCATGCATTAGGTATAGCCATGTTTTGTGGGCGGGCGGGTCGGTCTAACGTTAAACCTGAGGTATAAACGGCGGTAGGAATATATACGTAAGCCGTATGCACGCGGATGATAATGGTCAGTCAAAATAAAAATTTGTTTATATATATATAATATTGATGACACGCACGTGTGTACGGGTACGATAACCAAAAATAAATTTATACAGGAATAGTATTGCCGGCGTGTGATGAGCGAGGCGTGGGGTGGGGTGAATGCGTTATGACAGTCTAGTCTAGACGACGGAATATGCGATAACGCGTGGCGTTTGGAGAGTTACAAACATACATACATACATACAGGTGAAACTAATATAAGCGTGTTAATGAAAAGGAAGGCGGATAAGAGGAAAGACTGGAAGATGGCTGCAAACCAATCTACGGATTGAAACCATAGAGAGAGAGAGTTATACAACTAATTAATTACATTAATAATTAATTAATACTTATCTTACTTTATTAAATTTTATAGTTAAATGATTGAAATTATTTAAAATTATAAAATCTCATAACAACACAAATTATAATATTATAATTATTATATTATTATAAAAGGTAACAAGCGACAAATTTATGACTAAACAACCAAATTTTTAGCGAATATAATTTTCATTAGTGTCTTTTGTGCCTTTGAAATGGCGCTTGGTCTCTATTTTTATATTATTTCGTTAAAAAAATTGATAAAACGTCGATTTTATCAAAAATTAATAATTAAATATTTCATTATTAATGACTCAGAATCTTTAATTGACAATTCCATAGTATACATCATGTTGCTTATTCCCTCTTTTTTTTATCAGCCGATTTTAATTACAGATATATTATGATATTATATATTTATGTAAAATTACCTGCTTCGAATACATGAAGTTTACTGTTAGTTGTTAATTCCATCAATTCCTGAAAATTATACAATTATATAATTAAATAAAATGAAATTAATAATTCAGCATGGTAGGTAATGTGTCAATGTATCGAACTATAGTAATATATGAGCGAGTTGTAAAATTAAACTCGTTCAAGGTTAGACTAGTCACGAAGGCAAGAAGTACTTGCTTTTTTTTAGTGTAATGCAATTTTTTTTGCAGATCTGACACAATTATTGTGCTTCTGAGCCATTGACCACCCTATACACCTTTAATCCCGTTGTTATTTTATCTTCATAATTGGGGGGATCTATCAGAGTTCCAAAATAAAAATAAATCACATGTTGGTGTTCTAAAAAATTCTTACTCGAATTAACGTATTCAGCTATGTACACGTTGAAAATAAATATAATTCAAACTCAGACCATAGAGTATTACTCTAAGGTATAGATATTCGACAACGACAAAATGGTTTCAATTAAAAAACCCAGCACAGAGGGGTCGCGGCACAAGTGGTGCCGTAGTATAGTTGGATCAAGTATAATGATATCTGACAGTGATTAAAATCACTATCAAAAATAAACGTTTCGATGCAAATCTTTAGATAGTGTTTAATTTAAAAAAAATTGATGTTTTATTCCAAAAGCTACTTGATCTGCTGGTTCCTTATTAATATCTCGATTAAGATAAAGTATGTCGAATGAAAAAGGGTTTATTAAAAAATATTATTTCTCATAAAAAAATTGTGTGGATTCATAAACTTTTCAATAAGTTATAGCATTATAAAGTTAAATATAATATAAATTATAAAATCGAGAATTTTCACACAAAAATGGCATTCGATAGCCATTTTCACCATGAAGACAAGTCCAGAGGTCAAATTTTTTTTTTTAAATTAAAGTATATTACATTAGCTTTAATTTAAGATATATATAAAAGTGTCAGACCTTCCGGAACATTTTCAAAAGTTAAATTGAAAAAGTTGTCTTTTTAAATCCCCCCCCGTGGGCAGATAAAGGGTCAAATTTACAAAAAAAATATATCAAATGATAGGTAAAGACATCAAGCATCTATATAAAAAAAAATTATATTGATATGTTCATTTTTGAAAAAGTTACGGCACATTTTAGTAAAAAAAATTGAAAAATTTTTCGAAAATTAGCGATTTTTAAATTTGTAATTTTTTTGGTGGTTCCCCCCATTTACGGGGAACGGGGGAATTTTTAAGGGTAATGTCTTCGACTAGATACGATTTGTGATCTTTTGACGTATCATTGAAGGAAATCGGTTCGGTGAGAGCTAAGAAAAAGTGGTAACAGACACAAAAAAAAACACA